GGTAGATGAAGGTAATTAATGGACAAAATGTATAACTTAAGATGACACAGATAATTTCTTTACAAGCCCAAATAGTAAATTGATTTAACCTGAAGTTAAGTATATTGAATGTATGCTTTTTATTACTAACTGTTCACATGTTCTACATGCAAGTGCTGATAACTTCATTTTATTAACAATTTCTTGAATAGTCTTACATCCTCTTAAGTCCAATTAAAATTATATGTATATAACTATTTTTAACTCCTACAGTTATATACACATACTGCCCCTTAAGTCTCTAACTCTAATAGTAATTACAATATCACTTATATAAATACGTATATCACTATACGCAGTCCTATATCAGCAATTTCAAGAACAACGTTTTCGCGAATGAGAAGAAACCAGAGCCTATTCTTTAATTACTGCATATTTTTTTTAGTTTTCCTTTAGCGATTTAAGTTGTTTGTCGTCTCTGTGAAATGATTTGGTGCCTATAAAAAAATTACCTGCCACTCTTTTAGCTGCTTTTATTGCTTAAGTGACCTGGTATTTAGTTTTGAGATACAAAATTCTTCTTGGATTGGGTTGAGAGATAGAGTAGGTTGGACTCAACTAACTTTGAATCAATGGAAAATACCAGTAATCGAATTAAATGAAAATTGTTTCAGACCTCAAGAAAAAAAATATGAAATCTGTAGTAATGACAGGTCATTGAAAATGTAAATACTGTCTAAAAAAAATAAATTTAAATAATTGAGGTTCCTGTTAGATATGGTCTGATAATAACGTTATGTTATTATATTATTATCGTAACATACTTAACATTATTTAGGTTTGAGATTTTAAATGTCGTTTAGGTTTCCAAAACTTAATAAAACAAGACACACAACAGTTGTTAATTTTTTTGAAGTCTAGAAATAAGAGGACTTAACATACTTAGACGGCTGTACCTAAGACCTTTGTGTGCATACAGAGTAAGCTATATTAATAATAATTTGTCTTTAATTTAGCTTTGTTAAGCTAAATTATATTTTTCTTCATTGTTAAGTAGTACAACCTATAACCTATGCAAGTTCTCATTTTTTTATTTTTATATATCCGATATCCGAAATTTGTAAGGGATTGTGCTTAATCGATTATCCATATATAATGATAAACGATATGATTCGATAAGGTAAATGACACGATTAACGATATGATAAGTGATACGATGCATCACGATTGGCGATATGATACTCTGAGTAACTCGACTCGTCAATTAAACAAAACCTATGTTAAAGCCATACATTATCCACGCCGAAATCATACGATTCAACTACAGCTCGATCACATACGTATAATGCTTGTCGCTTAGGTGATATTATTGATTGTTGCTTAACAAAAATTCTAAAATTTTTCAATATTTTTTGATATTCTTGAAGTTTTTGAATATTTTTTTTAAGATTTAGAAAAAGACTACTGTAGCAAATTTGATAACTTATGAATGCTTTTATAAATCGTTGGGTATATATAAAGAAAAGTGAACAGTTTACAAACTCAAAAATACATTATTAATTTAATTTGTGAACTAATTCCGTAAATAAAAGAACTAAATTGAATTGAATTGTGAATTGTATTTTGTTACAAAGCGAATAGATATCGAATAACTGAATGTTGGAGACTAACACTAATGCGGCAAATATTCTTACTAAGAGCTGGGAGCGGTTGTCTGTGTTGATTCTCTTCTTTCTATTGTTCTTTACTATAATGAGCACGAGCAATTATTATTTTTTGCTTTATGCATGCATTTGTAATTATCAAGCAAACAAAAAGATTTCAATGAGTGAATGCATGCGCCTAAAAATGACATATTTATTTAATAAAGGATGAAGTATAAACTGGTTAAAGGTTAATAATGCTTTCTTTTTTAATCATAAGAGAATTAGTTTTATACCGTTTCACATAATGCATTGCCGAATCATTTTGTATACATAACATTGAGTTATTTTTTTAAATATTTTTTTTTTTTGATATGTAAATACCCTTTAAGTATTTTTAAATTTTATCTTTCTATGGCTATGATGCAGAAATACATTTTTAATACGCCCTAATAATCATAATTAAAATTTCTTTTTGTCTAAGAAAACATACATGTTCTACAACAAATCTAGTGTCTTTACACTTTGTTAGAACATAAATTACTAGATTTCTTGCCAATTTACATGTGCACAGATTTATTTTATTTCATTGTATTTTGATATCAAAATATAATTAAATATATTGAAGGGTATTTTCAAATTTAAAAAAAAATTAAATGTATTGAGATCTCAATATTAAAAATTATTTAATGTTGATTACATGTAGATATATACATATATTTATTTTAGATTTATTTTTTTTTGTACCTACAATTGAGTTTTAAAACTGAGTTCTCAAACAATAACTTTAAAACTTGATTTTAGAAAAGTTCTGATCCTGCGGATCGTCTGTCAGGATTAGTGTTAGCTGATAATCTTAATTTTTTTACCTATAACTTAATTTCTACGCCAACTTAATACTATAAACTTAAGGTTCTGAATGAAAGGAAACTAAACTGTGAATTAATATTAAATAATATTCTGGTTTTCTAATATATAATATCCTCTGAATACCCTCAAATTATCCTGTTGCAAGAAAAGTAGGAAAAAATCCGTACGTATTTAATTTTTTAAAATTCCATTTATATACATTTAATCAGAGCATATTTTAATTATTTTGGTTATATCGATTAAAATTAATTGAAAATATTTGCCGCTTGTCTATGCTGCTTTCGAACAAACACTTATAATGTATTTTCAATTATTTTGAGTTATATCTGGTGTATTTTAATGAACAGTGCTACATATAGTTTTGTGATAATGGTAGTTAATAATTTTGCTAGTAATCAATAGTATACTAGTTCCAAGAGGGGCCGGTTATATATCCCAAAGCCACTTGTCGAGTTTGACACCAAGTGCTCTGATCCATAGAAGTGGTTATGTTTCTTCAACTTGATCCTGGTTGACTTTAATTTTAGTCCTATCTATCCTTCAACCCTAATCTCTGGATTCATCCATACATGTTATCTGCTTTATAGATACTTGCGGGTTACAACAACCAAGTGTTGTTCAAACAATAAATAAACTCATTTCGGTAATTATAGCAAAAGAATTATTACCCTTTAACCTTCAGTGTATATTATTTTTTAGATTTGTATTATAATTTTTTGCTTAAAACAGCATCGCATTAAAAAAGTGAAAATAAAATCTGCTCAAGATAGATTTAACTGTATATATAAATAACTATACATTTATTATTATATTTACATATATATTATTATATAATCTATGTGCATTGTCATTTTGGTTTAGATTGAATTCTTAAAGTACCATTTTCAAATTCCACGACACTATCATTTTGTTCAACACTTTGTTGCTTAAGATTGGCTATGATATCTTGGGCCTTAGTACAACCTAGGCAGGCATTACGAATTGCAATTATACTCCATTCCTTCATTACTGAAAATCAAATAAATATTCAAAAATTATTATATATAGTAAATGCAATATTAACTATGTCCAACACTTACAAGGATTACGAGCATCCATATTTGTGCACTCAAACAATAGAGGAAGAAGTTGCACGTCTATGCAGTATTCCTGGTTTTGTTGATTCTCATGTAGTAGATTTGCTATTGTACGTACAAGTAATGTTTTCAGTTCATAACTGACTTCATTTTCGAAATCAGTAGATATATTTGATGTCGTAGCAACCTCATCCAATTTGCTCATTGGCGTAAAAATATTCTGTTCTGAGCTCTTACCAGCATCAAGTATTATACGTAGTAAATAGCAAGCACTTATAAAAAGTGAATGATCTTTACTATAAGATGGTGCATATATTTCATCACCACTAGTGGTGGCAATTACTTTCAGTAACATATAAATTTCACGTGGATGATTATCAGATGCGTTTGTTTGTGCTACACGTAGGAATGTATCGGCTTTGAGTTTGAATTTCTTCGAAAATGTTTGTAACACCTTAAAGTCTACACTGCCATTGGGATTTTTATGCGATATATAAGTAAGCACATAATCCAATAATGATATGCGTTCTTTAATTTGTAATTTATCATAACATTTAGCTGTAGTCATTGGTGCAGTCACTAAAATATGTTCAAAAAAGAAATGCAGACATTCAATGTCCTTTTCGTATTTTTGTGTATGTATATTATCCCAAACTTTCAATATTATTTTTAATACTTCAATATCCGTTAGTGATTGAGTATTACCAATGTATATATTGTATAAGATCATGAGTTGTACGTTTAGGTACTCATTTAATGGACCGTCTGTAGAGGATTCAACAATCATGGCTCCATAACGTTTCCAAACTAATTGCTGATTATTGCTATTTTGTACAATTAAATTTGATAATAACTGGAATGACATTTTTTTTAATTGTGCATCTTCTGGCCAATCTTCTTCACAATCTATGTCGAATATTTTCCGTAAGACGCTGTGTAGTTCTTCGTTTTCCATTATAATATTTTGTACTCGAAGCCCGCGACCACAAATATTACGTAGAAATTTAATAATGGTCATTGCTTCAGTGGTGTCATTTTTCCCAAGATTAACTAAAGTTTTAATTTTATTTTTGATTTCCAGCACGTCGTCGCTAAAGTGAAATTAATTATTATTATTATATATGTACGATATTTATATGAATGGTATAATATTATTAACTTACTCCATATTGTTTAGTAACACGCAGTCTTGTTTTTTGATTATATATCAAAAATGTTTAAAGTAGAATAATATAAAAACTTTAATAAATTTAAACTAAAATTTTGACACACTTTCCACGCCAAACAAACTCGTGTAAACAAATTTGACAATTTTATGGAGACGTCAACTGTCAATTTCTAATCTTTTTACGCTCTTAGTTTGTAAACAAAGCAATTTCATCCATACATATTTTGCATACCTTGCTACCTACACTGAATGAAAGCAGCTGTTGCGCCTTAAGCACGTAAACAATTTACGATATTAGGTTTTTACACATGTTTATAAGTTCTTGCAAAATATAAACAAATACATTTATTGTATTTAATAATTTAATTTTAAAAATATAAATTTTTTGTGAAATGACACAAAGTTATAAATCAAAAAAAGTGCTACGAAAACAACAGCGTTGCATTGCAATTGTCGAAAAGGATTGTGGAGTACAAGCCAGTGAGACTCCTACACGTAATTTGGCTATTCTGAATGCCGGTTTATCAACAGGCTTGACAGAAGAACGTTAGTAACTTAAAAATATGAATTATCTTATTATTTTTAATTATATTACTTCGATAAATAGTTGTATTAACCACAGTCAATCAACATGGCGCCATTAACCAACTCTTTATGCTACCTAACAAATCTTACTGCTTTTTGGAATGTGCCACAATAAAAGATGCGGAAAGCATATACGAAACCCTACATAACTGTTCGCACATTGGACAAAATGAAGCCGTTGTATATTTATCATATTTTAAAGAGCTTCCAACTGCTATAGACAATAAATGGTTGCTACCTTTACCAAATGGTCTAACAATCTTACCAAACTTCGTCACACCAGACGAGGAAGCACTGCTGTTGACAGCTATTAATAATAAAACTGTGGATACTGTTGCTGGTGAACTAAAACATCGACAGGTTCAACATTTTGGTTACGAATTTATATATGGTAAAAATAATGTTGATATTAATAGACCACTTGATAAACAGATACCAACTGCATGTGATATACTTTGGCCACGTTTGCAATTAGAAGCTGAAAAACTTAATCTAAAACTAGATTGGAAAATACCAGATCAATTAACAGTAAATAAATATGCACCCGGTCATGGTATACCATCACATGTCGATACACATAGTGCTTTTCTCGATCCTATACTCTCACTTTCATTGCAAAGTGATGTAGTCATGGAATTTCGCAGAGGCAATGAACGTGTGCCAGTCTTATTACCAAAACGTTCATTACTAATAATGTCTGGGGAATCACGTTATGATTGGATGCATGGCATAACACCACATGTTTATGATGTAGTACAATCCTCAAATGGTGCACTAACACTTAGTAAACGAACTGAACGTACGTCACTAACCTTTAGAAAATTGCGACGTGCACCATGTAATTGCAACTTTCCAACTTTATGTGATACTCATATTGAGAAAATAAAAACTACTGCCACTACATTCGTTACTGAAGATGATGCCGCAAATTTGGAGGAACAAAATGTACATAAAGTTTATGATGAAATTGCTAATCACTTCAGTGAAACACGTCATACACCTTGGCCTCGGGTGGCAGAATTTATAGATAGCTTTGTAATTGGTTCAGTGCTTTTAGATATTGGCTGTGGTAATGGAAAATATTTGCATTGTAATAGAAACATTCTGTCAATTGGTTGTGATCGAACCAATGGTTTACTTAATGTTTGTGTGGGTAATAATAAAAATGCTTTTAGATGTGATTGCTTAAATGTTCCTGTAAGATCGGCGTCTGTAGATGCTTGCATTAGTATTGCTGTCATACATCATTTGGCAACTGAGCAACGTCGTCTAGCAGCTGTGAAAGAAATGGCACGTGTTTTAAGGAAAGGTGGCAGGGCACTGATATATGTGTGGGCTAAAGATCAAAAATCTGGTGGAAATAAATCAAGTTATCTTAGACAGAATAAAGCTGTAAATAAAAGTAAAGTTACTGAAGACCAACAACGTCAGTTGACGGCTCACACTGTGGAATTACAATCCAACGATTTAACTTATAATTTACCTGTGCATACAAACCGTACTGAATTTCAACAACAAGATGTCTTAGTACCATGGAAACTTAAGGGTGCGGATGCACCAATAAATGAGCACAAGGCAACCTTCTTAAGATACTATCATGTATTTGAAGAAAAGGAATTAGAAGCTTTAGTTGCGAAAGTAGAAGAAGTTGACTTGATAAGCAGTTATTATGATCAAGGAAATCATTGCGTTATATTTGAGCGAAAATAAAAAAATATGTTGTAACTATTAAGAGATATTAAAAATACAAAATTTTTATAATATTTAAAACAAATATTTAATGTATTGAAATTAATTCCATACATTTAATATGTATGGTTTCAATTTTACGGATAGCATTAACTTATTTGTTGCCATTTATCATTATTCTTTTACCATTATTATTTTATGATTAATTTATTATCATGTTTTCAATTAATATTTTTATCTGTTTATTTTTTATTTTTTATTCTTATTTTTTATTTTTGTTTCGTTACGTCCAATTTGTTATTTTGTTTTAATTTATTCTCTTTTCTAAGTCTTTATCAATATGGGGTATGTATGCCATCCTTTGTCTATTTATGTTTTTGTTATATCACAATAGGCATTGCTAGGCGATGTACTGATGGCATGGATTTATAACCACCAAGATGGATATGAGTTCATGACGGTGCCGGCACTTCAAAGTCGAGGTCGGGACACCATACACAAAAACAAAATAATGTTTAAACTTTTACGGATAGCTTATTATTAATTTAATTATCAATATATCCTACATCTCCCAATCCCCCACGCTTTAATAAACCACTCATCTTTATCACAATCATTACCTGACCACACCCTAGTCCACGTATGCGTCATGTAATTCCTTTCATGTTTTCTGCTTTAGAGATCCCTGCGGGCTATAACAACAACAACAATATATCAGAAAACTGTTAAATTATTCATAAACTTCCCGTAATTCAGATTATGCCGAAAATCCAAAGAATTCACTTAGGCCTGTTAGCTCAGTTCGTTAGTAATCTTAGACAACTGAACTTGCAATTATCTGTTGCAAAAGCTAAATCACATGTTACGCTGAAGTCGATCAATTTTACAAATTTTAGACACTTTCATCAAATTCTACAACTTAGCAAACCTTTCTTTCTCTCTTTGCTCCATTCTTTATGAAACCTTAAAATACTAATAAACATTCTTTATGGAAGCTTAAGATACTAATAAACAACATTAAAATAACAAACTATATTGCACATATTGTCGAAGAATATATATCGAAACTGGTGTGCGACATTATAGAGGTCATTATAGTAGAAAGATATAGTTTATACTTTAAAGATATACATTTTAAAGATTGTTTTATTAAGAAAATTGCTCATCCTATTATGATGTTTAAAAAGCTTACATATGTGAACTATTTATATATTAATAAACTTATATTGTATATAGTTTTATATTATGTACCAAAAATTGTTTTTATAAACAATTTGTATATTAATCCTCAAAATTTAAACGATTGCAAATAAAAACCATGACATTTTCAAATATTTTTCGATAATGAAAAAGTTTATGTATTTTATTTTTATTGATTACAATTGAATTCTTTAAATATAGAAAAAAAGACATACATACATACATAAATATAGGATATATTTAATACATACATACTTAGTTATAATTTTATCTTAGGCTAAACATTTATTGTAACTTTGGACCATAAATTGACAATTCCATAAATAATAGTCAATGACTATACTTTTGAAATATCTAAACTATAAACGAAAAATATTTATTAATTACATTTATTGTGCTTAATAGATTAAGTTAACATTTATTTTAATATTTAATTAACTCTTAATTTAACATTTTAATTACTAATTTTTTTATAGTTAGTCTGACACATGTAAGTAATTATAAATTTTCAGTTAAGTAAAGCTACCACCATTGTAAATGAGTATATATAATATAGAAGTGTTAATATAACTTTTAATATTAGTATAATACATTAGACCTAGATATAGTTATTTAAACTTTTTAACAAGTGACAGTAAAAATTATATCAAAATATATATCTACTAACCGATTCAAATATTTTATTTGAAATGATTAAGAAATGAATTTTATATAAAAATTTAGTTCATTATTAAAATACGATTTATTAAGAATAAAACATTTTAAATGTTATAGAAAAATATTTATACAGAATTACAGGAGAGTCTGACGTCAGAATACCTTCAGAATAGATATAAAGAAATTTTTAGATTTGGTTCTACTGTACGAGGTAACAGGAAATATTTATTTACTGATAAATATATTCATTTTTAATAGAGATAATTCATAATAGAGATATAATAAAGATAACTTTTTAAATATGATGGACCAATGTTTAGGGTATGAGCATGTGTAAGTTCAGACAGTTTTGTAAAACAATTACCGTTCAAATACATGAATAATGGAATAAATATTGAACTGAACTCTACTGTTTATTTTAGTAGAAGGATGTTTTTCTTATTGCTCTTTTGTTTTTATATAGCGAAACTGTTCCATGATCGTTTCATGTCTTTAACCGATCTTAACCTCCAAATAAAAGTCAGAATATAAGCTAATGGTTTGATCCTAACATCAGATTTGGATAGGATTTTCCAGGGAAAACCGTAATATAATGTTATAGATATTGTAAATCGAAGTATGGCTAAAAATTATGAACATTTAATTAAAATATCGATAGACTGCACATAGTGTTGATAGAATGAAGAACTTAGATTGTTCTCCAGCATAAGGACTGTTCTTCATTTAATTGATTTAATTTTATTCGCTTTATTCGCAAATAAAATTGGGCTTTAGAGTAACTTGAAATATATTTAATACTAAATGCAGAAGTTATTTTTAGTAACGAACCTCTTTTGTGGTTACATGGATACATAAATAATCAAAATTGTCACATTTCGATTGAAAAAACCCACATGTTATTTGTGCTTGTGGACACTTATGTTAGGTTCGTTAGGTTGGAATGACGATCTTGTACCTAGGAAACCCTACTTGAGCTCAAATATTAGCCCGTTGTGGTACCACAGGATTGGCGTTTGTTCATGCATAGATTAACGATCATGTACGACAAACGTTATTAGATGAAAAATAACCAACCTCACAGTTCTATAAACATAACTAAGTCACTAATTTTGCAGAATAACAGTTAAGACAGGTCGGAAAGAAAAGGGGCCCAAAGATTTTAAATCGTCTCCTAGCTAAAGATGGGCACTGACACTTGAGATAAAACACAGTTTTCTCCTCATCCTCAGAGTTACAACCACAACAAAAGTTTTTATGGAGTAAACCCAGCCTACCTATAATGTAGGCATGCTATGAGACTAACCTATAATGTTCCGCCTTAATAGCAGTAATTGACTATTACGTATGGACATTTTGGTAACTGAAATCAACATTTAGTCCATAAAAATTTTAACAGTTTAGTTTAGTGTATGTTCTGGAGGTGTGGTTGGACTGTATTATTTTATAGATGTTATAATGGAATTGCCTTCATTGAAGAGTGCTGGTATGATCTATATATCAACAGGAGATATGAAAAAAACTCTGAAAAATATTTTGAACCATAAATTTGCTCGTTTCCAATTTTTATGTTATCGAAATAAAAAAATGGAAAATTTTTTTCAAATTGTTTTAAAAAATAGCAGGTTATACACCTGCACCTATAGATATGTTTGTCATAGATTCGACTTTAACTTTTGATATTATATTTTGAAATGTATTTAAATATTTTTAGTTTTTGTCTTGCAAATAGATAAAACACGTACTATACTTTCTGTTTACGAATAGAAATAGGTGGGTCGGTAACCCTTATAAATATAGCTACACACATATACTTATAAGTATATAAATATCAAAATTTACGAACTATATTAGTACATGAAAAGTACACATAAAAAATATTATTTAAAATCCTAGTATATATCTAATTACATATATGACAAATATATATTTAAATTTATTTCATACATTTATCTGGACACAACTACACTTCAAAAAATTTATAGTCATAAATATGTACTAAAATAAGTGTAATATTACAATTTTTTTAGATACTTTTTTTCGTAAGCCATCAAAAATATTTTGAAAATGTATATATAAAATATAACTAAACAAATTGTTTTTAAATTAAATTTAAAATTTAAATTAATTTTTTAAATCTCAACATTTTAGTTGATCAGATAGAATTTCTGTAATTAAGAATTTTTTTTCTAAAATATTTCTTTTTTCCTCAATTTTTTCTTTAAAAATTATAAAAAATAAATTTAATTTGTCACTGTTACGAATTTAGTGTATATTGCTAATAAAAACATAATAATGATATATATACATAAATAATTATTTTTTTTTTCTTATATATAAAATTTTCTACTTTACTGCTAGTGTTTGGTCTCTAATTTCAGGAAAATATGTCACGTTTTAAAGATTAGATATGCATAGAGTGCTTTTAATATATATATAATTTATGTAAAGATTTGTAAATATTTTTTTATATTTTTTTCTGTATTTCTGAAATACATAAATACATTTTAATAAATAGTTTATAGTTTATTTTTTTTTACTATAATACATAAAGAATTAATAAAGCTAATCAATTATATATAAAACACTTTTAACAAATTAAAGTTTACTGTATGTAGGTAGTAACAGATTATATATATCAATACATATATGTAAATATATATGTTAATATTTTATATTAAAGCCTGAAAGTTTTAAATATGGTTTAAAGCTTATATTCTTTCGTTTATGTGAATTTATATTCAGTCCAGTTAAGAAAAGTTTAACTTATAGTGTTCTCAGCAGTTCCGAAACATTTATTTGAGCGATTACGGATTTTAACCCGTTTCATTAAGAGAAATGAAGGAAGGAATTTAGTTGAAATAAATAATTAAAAGTTAATTTTTTAATATATATTAAATATTATATATAATCCTAGACTAATATTTAATATTTTGGCTTTTATATATTGTATGTTTATATAGTGCTGCAAATGATCATAAATTTCCTTCCATTCCATGATTTTAAACACTCTTAAATAAATGTCTCGGCTGCCATTTGTTACAAGCAATCGGACGGTGGCGGTTTTTCGTGTGGTGGTGAAGGACCTGATACTGAAACCATAGGTAGTGTACCAATTTTTGGTTTGATGCCTTTGAGCGTTAGCGTTTTCGGACTACTGTGTGTTGATGAAAATGGCGGTGATTGACTGCGTGCTGTGGATGAAGCTGTTGAGGAACGTTGATGTACTAATACTTTAGATCTAGTTTCATTGGGTACAAGAATGAGTTCTTCGACTGTATCGGTGGAGTCACGTGAAGTTGTTTTTGGAGGCGTTCTTATCAATAGTGGTTCTTGTTGTATATCAAGAATAGTATTTAAAGCACTATTACTATCGTCTTTCATGTACGCTGGTGGTGCCTCAATCGATATACTACCAACAATCATGTTTGATGTGGTTACTGGGGCAATATTTCCCAGTAAACTTGTTGTTGCTCTTATTTCACTATCATTTCGATTAGATTTATCAACCATTGGTCTACATTCTTGTAGTTCGATACACATATTATCCCTAGTCTCATCATCGGTATTAGTATCAGTGCCATCATTTGTGCGCCATTGTCGCTTTTCCGAGAAACTTTTCTGTTAAATGTAAATATAAATTAGATATGACTGGATCTTGTTTAAAAAATAAGCTTATTTAGTTGGAAGTATTATAGAGGCTTCAATAAAAAATAAGAAACTATTTATAAATCGTGCCAAAAGTTTGAATATTGCTTTGAATATAACTTTTGATATAGTTGAGAGAAGACGAAGAGTGTTTATCAAAATGGTCTTGTTATTGTTAACGATTTACTGTCAAGAGAATCTTATCTTAAATCAAGTAAATAAATAAGTTAGTGAATAAATAAATAAATAAAAAAGTCAAAATAAATTAACTTCAACTAATGCCGTATTCACATTTTTTAACTATTATACATTGTATTAATTTTTTACACTAAACTTTGTAATATTAATATTATTATTTTTGACAATTATTTTGTTTGTAATTTTAACAGTAGCCTTCCCATTCAATAATAGTATTCTAATCAAAAATTATATTAAATACTTATTTTTAAAATCCATTTCAAGTACCGCCAAAATCTAAAAATCCACATTCGAAAGGATTATTATAGGCAATGAATATAAAATTATATATGTGAAAGGCACATAAAGACAAAATTTTATAAAAATTTTAAAATATGTGGAAGGCTTTTAAAATTTAATAAAATTTGAAATATGAATAACTGGCATTTTAGTGTCAGTGGTAGCGGAAGTGACTGTTTTACGTAATTGAAACTATCGAGACGTTTCATTCAATCATTCTACAGTTGGTTTATGATTTCATTCTAATAAAATACAGCAGGTTAATTTGTTAATGAACTTTCACAGCAAATTAACAAAACTTTCCAACATACAAGTCAAGTACGGCTTTAGGTCTGTTGGCTAAGGAGCACTGACTCTGATCTTGGTAGGATCCGGGTTCAGCCCTTGGTACTTGCAGTCTCAAAAAATATTTTACGAATAATTAAATATAAAAAATAATTTCAAGACCACTGTTGAAGGGTATTTGGCAATACTCGAAACAGTTGTATGGTTTGCTAAAAATTAATTAAATAAAATAATAAAAATTTTTGTTGTTGTAGTTCACTACTGTTCGAAATCTCAATATTAAATAATTTAATATAAAATAGTTAACATGAAATATAATAATATGAAAAGGCTTATTCAAACTTACTTTTCGGTCGTTATCAGTTATGTTCTCTGCACTTTTGGCTTTTCGACAGAGTACACTTTGTGAGCCATGCCTTCGCAGGAATTCAATGGAATCAAATCCTCTTCCATCCGATGAAACGAATATCGCCGAATTGATGCGGCTTCTCGTACAACGTTCTGCTATAGATGTGGAGTGCTCCTCCTGCAACATATTTAAATTCTGAAAATGAAATGGAAATGGATTTGTTTAACATAGAGTTGTGTGCATAGGAAAATGATTTGTGCATCGAAATATAAACTCTTATTGCTAAATTGCTTACACGACTACTGCAGTGTAATGGTTGATAGGCGAGTGCGCCGCAATCGCTGCCGTCGAACTGAAATTTTCAGACAAGATACGAATTTTTCATCAAAAACAGGTAGTGGTGTTATCTGTACAATTCTATTGTGATTGCATACAACAATTGCGTTTAACAAGCACAAAGTGTAGTTTAAACTTTAACATTCTGAACAATATATACATTGCAGCATTTGAAGTTATTAACGCTTTCTTTCAATTTTTACATACTATCACTTTACCATATAACTTTAAATTATAAATATATTGCATTATGTGTTCATATTAGTTTATTCAATTAAACTTTTTATATGAGTTATTTTGTGCAATACAAAAACAGATAATAAAAATTGAGAAAATTTGTGAATTACAAAAGCACATTCATCGTCACATCGATTGGGACTTGAAAGCATACTGAAAGAATTCAAAAAGATGTAACTTATGCACATGTTTTCAATATCAAAGCTAAAAATTTTCTTATAAGTACCCATATGTTCTTTTTATGAGTTAGGTTCTTTAAATAACAGAAATAAGAATAAGAATAATAATACCCATATGTTCGTCTTTATGAGTTACGATCTTTATATATCTTCCATATCAACCTTTGTCTCAATACATGTGTGCTGTGTTTTTAATCTTAAACTGATATATTTAGTTCTAGGTATATTAATTTTAGGTATATACCATATCTGATATATTAGTTCTAGGTGCCGGATCGATTTCAAACTTTCAGGAGCTAACTATAACATTGTTACAAATAAAGTGATAAAAAACTTGAAACTTGAGCATTGAAAGTTTGCGGAAAAACACGACTAGTCAACAATTCTAATTTGACAGGCACGAGTGCTAAGCTTGTCACTTGTAGTCCAACAAATTATATACGCACTCTGAACTGATTTAATAAAAAATCGAATATTTTCTAGAATCCTTGATGAGTACTTCACAATACTCAACACAGCTTTGTGTGGTCAGTCAAATTTCAATAAAATAATCAAATTTTTGTTGTTTCTTCATTACTGTTCGAACCCTTCTACGAAAACTTTTTTGGAGATCAAACTTACAATTACGTTTAAAGATCTCTCAATCAACACCCAACAAAACGTATATCTATATATATATCTATATATATTATGTATATATTATGTGTATAATACATACATAATATAATATATACATGTATGATATTTTAATTATTTTATGTTAAAGATTGTTTTCTATATAATTGTTTTGGATAAATTTTTGGGTCTTGACTCAAAGGTTAAGCAATATAGTACTTATTAGGCGTATATAGTTCTTGTTTTTTTTTTCTATTTTAATACCACAATTTACAAAATTTAAGAAATTTGTAAATATTCATTACAGTAAAAAGTTTGCAAAATCAATGTGATATCCTACAATATTCAGGATGTTGATATTTGAGACATAATTTCTACGAATAATAGTATGACCTGCGATACCTTCAATACTTATAAATGTAAACAAATGTATTTTTTATTAAATTAAATATTTTTATGATATATATTTTTATCAAACCAATACTATGTTTTTTTAGTGCAATTAAAATACAGGTTGGCACTTGTATTTTGTATTGAATATATGGTATAATCTTTTTAAGAAAATAAATCAACATTAATAATAACTTAAGACATTAATAGCTTACTGGTATCAAATGTGTAAATAAAATGTTAAGTTCGATTGCGCTTTGTCTTGCATACATATGTTATAATTATAAAATGCTTGTACTGAGAAGTATAAGCAATGCCGTTTGTAATACTACAAACGAGCTTCCTATGCGGGATGGCTCTCACGCCCCTTATATATATCGAAACTCATAACAAAGCAGTGAAAAATATATACAATTGCTTGCAGCGGTGCTGCTAGTAATTATGTATGGCTTAATATGATCTAAAGTACCTTATCATTTAGTAGTTTACGTGCAGTTAAAAAAGTATTAGTAATCTTTATAGTTTTAGTACAATTGTGAACAAAAGTATTGAATGAAATACTATTTTTTGACTTGCAACCGGCTTCCCCTTATATCTGACACCTTGAGATGTCGTCCTCTAGTGCCCACCTGTAAAACCAATACTGACTACAAACACCCTACACAACGGATTGAAGTTCACAATATCCAATAGATCACCCAATTTTTTAATAATATTGTATTATTGTATTTTTATCTTTAGAAACTATTTATATTGTAAATATTATGAAGATTATATAACAAAAAAAAGTCGATCTCATTATAAATAAAGTTCGTTTATTTCAATATTACAAGTTCACTTATAATGATTATTATAAATTAAATTAAATTTAAACAAAAAAAGGAACAAACCTTAATACTTGTACGGTTAAAAAGCCGTGATAAAATTTATTTAGTGCTGATCACGATGAATTGTGTGTTGTGCGTCCCTAAACCGACGAAGAAGCCTGGATTTTAAACTTAATCACAACTAATTCAAAATATATATTATGGCGTTGCTAGACCGCGTAGATTCTTATAATAAAGTATCAATGCAATGTTGTGAAACAGATACTATTTAAGTTTTATTGTGAAGTTGTTTACTTAGTACCTTAACAAATGCCCCAACATTAAAGGTTCATCGTCAACAATGTTTTATTATATCCTAATAAGAGTCTTTACAGAACGGTGTCTACTTTGTAATGAACCTTTTCTAGCGGTTCGTTTATAGCTGGGATAACTCAGTCTTGTCCAAGGTCCACACAAGAAATTTATTTAGTGAGACCCCGTCACTTCTGATTGCTCTTAATTACAGATACCTAGGTTCGAATACCAATCGGAATCACAGACACAAAGGAATCACTTGACTGAAATAGACACGATATAATACCAGCACGCGTGACTGTTAAAGCTACGTGAGTGGTATTACAGGTCGCTGATCACACGCCCTTCCCTGTTCACTGTTAAAGCGCCCAGGGGCCGGAGACGTTAGGTGACTATTAAAGCTACCTATCGTTTCCGACACTATGGTAAAGACTCACGTGACTATTAAAGCTACGTGAGTTATACCCCGTACAACCGAGATTCAGTTACTATTGAAGCCCCGAATCTTTCTTACCTGTGTCTCTCACTTGTGTCGTTGTGCTGGATTCCCACCTTGAATTTATACCGTTCAGGAGTAGCTAGTCTATGTGGTACTTTATCAATTCTGTATTTGGTTAAGAATCTGATTGCGTTTGTTGAAATACACTTTTAGTTTATTTTCCTTTTAATTTATTTATTCGATATAAAAGAAATTGTTAAGATTTATTATATTAACAACCAAACAATTATGTCTAAGATATAATTTGTACGTACTTTTATTTGGCTTTACAGCCACTAGTAAAATTCAATTGTTAAGTTTTTTTCCCAATTTATTATTGCAAAATTTTCAATATTTCGATATTATCAAATATATATAATCTATGTGTACAAGATTTTAATTTGTGCGTACTTTTTATTTTTACTTAACTTTGACTTTGGTTACAAAATTCAATTTTTAAATGTTCACAATTTATAAATAAAATATTCTATATTTCGATATTATCAAATATATAATTTCTGTGTACAAAATTTTAAATTTTACGTACTTTTTATTTTTACTTAACTTTGACTTTGGTTACAAAATTCAATTTTTAAATGTTCACAATTTATAAATAAAATATTCTATATTTCGATATTATCAAATATATAATTTCTGTGTACAAAATTTTAAATTTTACGTACTTTTTATTTTTACTTAACTTTGACTTTGGTTACAAGATTCAATTTTTAAATGTTCACAATTTATAAATAAAAGTTTCAATATTTCGATATTATCAAATATATAATTTCTGTGTACAAAATTTTAAATTATACGTAATTTTTATTTTTACTTAACTTTGACTTTGGTTACAAGATTCAATTTTTAAATGTTCACAATTTATAAATAAAATTTTCAATATATATAATCTCTATGTATAAAATTTTTTTTTAACAAAATATTCTCACTAAGTTTGAAGAGTCACTCAAATTTCACTGGTGACACCGCCGTCTTAGTCACGTACTTTTTAACTGCAACGGAAACCAGAGCCAGGAGTCTTTCTTCCGCGGTAGAACAAACAAGAGACCTTCTTCTTGGTGAACGCTCCTTTTATCCCCTCCATGGTCAACGGTGTCAGCTGAAAAAAACGTTAAAGTTTGTTGACCCAACATTAAAGCTCCTTTTCTGTACCGCACTGAGCGAAAGTTTAGTTTCACGGCGAATTTACATTTCTTTGAGTACCTTTTAGAAGTGGTTTTTGTCTGAGTTGTGATCCACTTCTACACCTTTTCTGCACAAAGCTTTCTTCGTTTGACAGGTCTCTTTACTATTATTTTGTTTTGCTCTCGTTTGTTTGTTAGCAATGTGTTGTGCCGGTGAACGTGTGTATTTAATTCTATTAATTAGAAAATTATTTTAAAATGATTTTATTTTCCAATAAAGTTCCAGCAAAATAGAACACCCAACGATAGCTCAAGATATGTGTCTTATTTATTCAAAAATTGTTCACGCACTAACCAAGGATTTTCATACAATTTTAAGATTTGTCAAATTCAAAGTCACGTTGTTGGTGGCAGAGGATTGGGGTGAGTTGGTTTAACTTAATGTTTTTATAAGTATTTAACAATTTTTATTACAGGAACCTTCGAGTGAGTGTTACTTGTTGTGTGTTAGGTGGTCGTGTTGTGTTTAGTAGACAGCTATACCCACGACGTTGTAACGATCAAATTTTTGGTTGACAAAATTTTGGCCGTTACACTCCCTCCTTTCTTTCGGGAAACGTGATTTGCCCTGAACCATTACCTGCCAGCGTGATTTCTGTGACGTTGCTTTGGACTCTTATATATTTTATAAAAGTCG